CATATCGAGTTGGTGTTAGTTGTATCCTGCCATCTTCAGATGGAGTAGAAGCCAGTCTTTACTCCTGTCCAATGGGTGAAGCTGAAGGATGTTTGTGTGTTTGTGTATCTGGGCTGTGTGGGTATAGTTGTCTTTCTTGTCATCAGCCAATCACTAAGTACAGATACCCAGGCAGTTCTGAGTTTTTGCATGAATCAGATAGCTAACTACTATGCTAAGCTCCTGGTTTAGAATTTGAATATACTTTATCTCCTCCACATTTTACAGAAGTCTTTATTCTTATTTGTGAGAAAGGGGAAACAAAGAAATGTCATAGGACCAAAAATTGAGCTATTCACCTCTTTGCATTTGCTGAGAGTTGCTCTGTGTCAACACACCTCCTTTGTCCCAAAATCTAGATAGAAAAATTCTAATGGTTGGTCTTACAATCTCTCCCAATTACTTCAGTATTAATATGATGTACTTTGACATAATATTCTTAAACACAAACTTCACCAGATAGAAGGATATTGAGACCAAACACCAGGTACCTACACTAATTTTTCATAAATATCCTTGTCTTGATCTTGTATCACAGATGGAATTTGGGATAAGGAAGACTCGAAGAAACTCTAGAGATTCTGAAGATTAACAAACAGATTTACACATCTTAGAGTTCCCTGTCAGGTTGTCTCAAATGTAGCTTGATCCTGTACTTGCTTTTTACAACTACCTTCTGAACACCATTCTTTACCTTAATATATTTGGCTAGATCCTGACTGTCTGCCTAAATCTTGGCAGTCTTCTCTAACCAAGGACCACAATTCTGTCCCTCGGTTCTCTCTCTGGAATGCTACTTCCAAGAATACATCGCTGTAACACAATCATAGCATTTTACCGGAAAATGTCATGAGATTCATATAGCCTTCCCTACTTTCCCCTTCCGTATAGGATTGGTAGCATAGATGGACCCTTAACATTGTGACAAGTACTGCTGGCAGTTTTCCTTTAGGAGTGGACTGAAGCCCATTTTGAGTCTCCTTACTGCTGACTTACCCATTCAAGGTTTCTTTTCTCTCTTTCCTGGGCAGGTGCTAAAGTTCCAACAAGCCATCTGGCCAGAACAGTAGAAGTTGTGGTACAAATTCAAACTGGAGCTCTTCTAATCTAGCATGACGATTTGTACTGATCAGGTTAATGGGGATCTTTTCGCTTTGATTTGTACAGAGACATGACAATTTAATCTGATTTGCTATTAGTTATTCCAGCCAATCATCAACATAATGTTTTACTAAAGAGAGAAAGTCTATTCACATAGCAGAATCGGTGTACCCACCCAAACCCAATGATAGTCAAGTGTTACCTTATGTGTTCCACAATGAAGCTGCACTACCACTATGTGTAGGACATGCTCTTGGCCATCTTTCTTACCTACAGTAGAAATGTACTTCCTGAAACATGACTCTTCTCTGGGTCCCTTAGGGGAATTGTATGCATTTATGAGAGAATATGGAGGTTGATTTTGGGTTTGAGACCAGAGTGAAATTTAATTGAACCACAAGATTAATAATCACACCATGAGTGAAAGCAACATAATGCCTTAGCTAAAAAGAAATAAATAAATACATTTACATTACATGGCTTTCCCCCATTTATTAATAAGCATTTGTTGAACAATTACTAAATGTTGAATATCATGCTGGGTGTTGGTGATGCTGTCTTTACACAACAAAGAAACTTCTTGTCTTTGTGGAGTTTGCAGTCCAAATAGAGAAGAAATGAAAATGAAATATTATAATTGTGGAAAGTGTATAAGGAATAAGTCGAAGTGCTCTAAAATGACTATATTGGAACCCAAATAATTATTCAGGTGAAAAGTGGGGTGGAGGAAAGGGGGAAAGAAGAACATTGAGAAGCAAAAAGGAGTCAATTGAGGAATTTTAAGAAACAAAGTGAAAAACGCAGTAGTTCAGAGAGCAAGAATGAGCCAAAGGACAATGGACTATGAATGGGTTACATGCCTTCAAAGGCTTTGAGAGATAATAGTAGTCATCTTTGTGTAATATTTGACCTGTATTCCTGAAAACATTGAAAAATTGTTGTTGACATAAGTTGAATTGATTTTGGAATAGTAGATATCTTTAAATTTTCCAAGGCTAACAGACTAAATAAACCCTTTGACCTACCTCTGAAATTTGGAGTTTAAAAACAAACAAAAAGACTTGTAGTAATGAAGCAAATGAAGAATTTCCACTCTGTATCTGCACAGACGGTGAGGTCGGACCCCTGAGAACTGAGAAGTAATTACACTTTTACTCTGGATCCATGTCTTAACCACAAGGAATGTGTTCTGCAGGATCTATTTCATAATTGAGGGTAATTACAAGAAGTTAAAAGTAGATTAGTGACAATTAGACCCTATACAACAGGGAGTTTTGTGGGTGGTCGAGAAAGGAGTAGAAAGAGCCAACAGGAGAAGAGTTTCCTAGACTGCTTGACGCTCTTCAAGTCACATAGTAGAGCTGGAGGTGCACTGGGGGGAGTTTATTTGTGCTCCTCGTATCTCTTCACAGCTGGAGAAGGTAAGCAAGCCCAGTGAGTTCAAGAACCACATGGCTGACAGTTAAAAACGTTTCATAGGTCAGAAGCTAGTATGGAAACAAAGAGGAAAGGCTGCGTTTGAAGAAGTCTTATTTGAGCAATTATTATTATTGTTTGTGCTGTTCTAGATCTTGACACTATGGAAGAAACATGACAATCATATGATTTTTGTCCTCAAGGAACTTCTAAGTTTAGTGAGGAAGGTGACTTTTCACACTCTTTATCCATTGCTTTGATTAGTCATTGATTCGTTTAATCAAGCAATAATCTTGCAACCTCACTATTACTCTTGCAGAATACCTTTCTAGGGATCATTAAGTGGAGAAAGGAGAATATTCTTAAGAGTCATCCAGGGGCTTACTTAACTATTAAAGTGAGTCGAACACCTGGTCCAAGAATTGATAGATGGTTTCTGATCAGTAGAGAGGCATATGATCTTAGAAACAGCAGAAGTAGCATTAAGAATGTCCATTAACACTGAGGAGAGACACAGTGAAGAGCACTGCAGGTAGAAGCTGAGGTAACATGATTAAAAAAAAATACCAGAGGAAAAGAGGAGATGGGCATAGTAACTGTGTGCCTGTAGATGTGAATGAGTGTGTGCTCACACAAGTACATGTGCATAACACAACTCCAAAACCAATAGATTTCTTTTTAAGTAAAATTTTTATTTTATACTGGTTTACTTTCAAAAGTCGTATACATTGTCTTTCACACCAGATCTTTCCCATTTCCTTCACCCACTCTCTACCCATCAAATTGTGCAACCCTATGATTATCTCCCTGCCCAGCCTCATGCCTCTGCTCCTACCATCCCCCTCCTGGCTCCTCATACGCATTTTACTAGTTATCTTTCTATTTCTACAATAGTGATTTTTATGCAGTATTTGTCCTTATAGGACTGAGTTAGTTCACTTAGCAAAATTCTTTCCACTTCCTTCCAAGTAAGGTAGTGAATTTCAAAATCATTGTTCCTGCATGCTGTATAGTTTTTCATCTTGTGAATATACCATAATTTCTCAATCCATTCTATTGTGGTTGGATGTTTGGGCTGTTTTCATGTTCTTGTGATAGTGAATAACACTGCGATGAACATTTGTGTACAAGTCTCTGTGCCTCAGTTCTCATTCTCTTTGGGTATATTCCAAGCAGTGGAATAACTGGGTTATATGGAATTTCTATGTTCAGCTTTTTGAGGGAACGCCAAACTACTTTCCAGAGTGGAGGTACCATTTTACAATCACATCAACAGTGTAAAAGAATTCCTATCTTGCCACATTCTCATCAACATTTATTATTTGTTGTCTGGTTAAACTTTGCCACTGCTACTGGGGTGAGATGGTATCTCTTTTTGGTTTTCATTTGTATTTCTCTTATTGCCATTGATTTTGAGCATTTCTTTACGTGTCTGTTGGCCATCACAATATCTTCCTCTGTGAAAAGTCTTTTCATGTCTTTTGCCCATTTTGTAATTGGGTTATCAGTCTTTTTCTTCTGGAGGTCCTATAGGACTCTGCAAACTTTTGATATGAGACCCTTGTCTGAAATGATATTTCCAAATGTTCCCCCCCCCCATCAGTAGGTTTTCTTTTCACTCTGTTGGAAAATATTTTTGATGTGCACAGGAATTTAATCTTTAGAAGGTCACATTCATCAGTTTGATACTCTCCAGATTGTGCATTTCTGACTGTATTTGTCAGTCCAGTCAGTCTCTTTATACCATAGACTATCTAAGCTTGATCCCAGTTTGTCTCTGATGAACTTTATAGTTTTGGGCTTTGCTTGCAGGTTGAGCTGATTTTTGTGTATTATGTGAGATGTGGATGCTGATTCTGCTTTCTGCATGTGGAAATCCAGTTTGCCAGCACCATTTGTTAAAGAGGTTGCCATTTCCCCATTGGATAAGTTTTAGTTCCTTGTTGAATATCAGTTGATCATAGATAGATGGGTCCATTTCTGGGTTCTCAATTCTGTTCCATTAGTCTTTGTGCCTGTCATTGTAGCAGTACCATGCTGTTTTGGTTACTATTCCTGTGTAGCAGGTTTTGAGGTCAGAGAGTGCTATGCGTCCCACTTTATTTTTGCTAAACTAATAGATATTTTTATATCCCACACACTTCTGTGACATGAAGTTGCTATTACATTCATACATCTTTCTAAATTTTCCTTAAAAGCACCTATAGATGGTAGTATAAACTGATGATGTTATGTTTGTCATGATAATCTTACTGCATAGTAATTAATCTGGAGGTCCCGAAGATATTACGTTATAGAGACTGAGGGAGGACCTCTGCTCGGTGGCTTATTTTCTTGAAAGGAAATAGTAGTAATACCCTCAAACATGTAGCCTAATGACTGTCTTCCTTCAAAGAAACCTAGGCTATACCAAGAAAAATTACTCCTTGGAGATGGTAGGACTATTAGGTTCCCTTATCATCTGCCCATTGACTCATTAGCCTTCTCACTGCCTTTTTAACATCCTTGTTCCTCAGGCTATACACGATAGGATTTATCATGGGGGTTACCACAGTGTAAAGTAAGGAGAAAATCTTGTTAAGGGCAGCAGCCTGGGTTGCTGTGGGAATAGCATATACAGTCCCCAGTGTTCCATAGTACAGGGTGACTACAATGAGATGTGAGGAGCAGGTGGAGAAGGCCCGTTGCTTTCCTGCAGCTGATGGGATCCTGAGGACAGCAGCAACAATGCGTATATAGGAGGCTACAGTCAGCAGGAAGGGCACCATGGTGACAAAGGAGGCCATGAGGAAAGTGGTTCTCTCTACTGTCTCAGGATCAGAACAGGCCAGTTTCAGTACAGGGGCCAGATCACAGAAGAAGTGGTCAATCTTATAGGCGGCACAAAATGGCAGCTGAAAAGTCATGGTGACAGTGACCACTGGAGTTAGGAACCCACCCAGCCAAGATCCACTTGCAAGTAGGACACATGTATGGAAATTCATGAGGACCGGATACCTGAGGGGACTGCAGATGGCAAGGTAGCGGTCATAAGACATGGCAGCAAGGAGAAAACACTCAACGACTGCCATGGAACCAAAAAAGTAAAACTGGGCCACACAGCCTGCAAAAGATATCACCTCAGGACCTGAGAGGAGGGTCTTTAACATTTTGGGAGCAATGGAAGTCGTATACCAGATCTCAAGGAAAGAGAAGTTAGACAGAAAGAAGTACATGGGGGTGTGGAGGCTACGGTCAAAAGAAACGACTGTAATGATAAGAATGTTCCCAAGCAATGTCACAACATAGATTCCAAGAAATAACACAAAAAGCAAAAACTGCAACCCATGGAGACTCCCAAATCCCAAGAGAAGAAATTCTTTGATTGTAGTTACATTACCCATATCTGTGGAAGTCAGGCATCAGATCTGAAAAAAAGAAGAAGAAGAAAAAAAGAAAATATATACACAGCCAACTGGAGGGGAGGGAAATGCCATTTCACTGGAGGGGAATATCATAGACCAAGAATGTCACAGAACAACTAACTAAAAAGGCTCTGCCTTTTCTCCACTGGATTCCATTTTCTTTTAGTCCTCCTGAGTACATTTGCTAAATAGTTCTAAGTAGAATCCAAAATTATGTCCTGAAGAATGAACAGAACAGAGCAGAGCATTTCTGCTCTTTCCTATTCTTTCACTTGAACGTGGTGATGAATCTACCTTGAGGGGACTTAACAGTTAGAGATAAACACCTCTTAATCTGTCTTGGAGAGGGTGAAACCAGGTTTTTCCTGGTTACGCTAGGGTTTTGAAGCTCCAACTCATATACTTCGGCCATGTGGCCAGGAAGGACCAGTCCTCGGAGGACATCATGCCTGGAAGAGTGGAGGGACAGTGCAGGAGAGGAAGACCCCAGATGAGATGGGTTGATACTAGGGCAATGAGGGTAGGTGTGTTGGAATCAGTGAGACTGGCTCAGGACAGGGCAGGGTTCAGAGCTGTGGTACACAGGATCACTCTGAGTTGCAGGCAACTCGGTGGCACATAACAACAACAATGGAGGAATGCACCAGAAGTTTCTGTGACCCTGTATTTCTTTGAACTTCTGAAACTTGACTTTTTATTTTTCCTCCTTTTAAAAAAATTGTGATTTTAGTGCGTTTACCTAAAAGTTGAATTTTTATTTATTCACTGTTGCACATTTTCCCTCCCTCATCTCTGTCTCCCCTCCCCAAGTTTACTTTCTTTCTTTATTTTTTAAATACCCATTCATTATGGAGAGAGAGGAAACTGTGCAACAGTGAAACTTGACCTTCTGGATTCAATAGAAGTATGAAGTAAAAGTCCTAAAATAACATTGAAATCAGACCGCTTTATGTCCCTTTGTGTTTCACCAGGACCATTATTGAAGAAAGGAGGGAAATTCAGAGCTACTAATACTAAAGTACCTGCAAGAAAAATAAGGATTTCTGCCAGGCTCAGGGGATATGTAGCTGATTGCTTCCACGGCATCAAATTCCTATGGAAATTGGAAGGAAATATATGTAAAGTTATTCACTCAAAATGTTAGAGAAAAATAATGTTCCATCCTTCATAAATGAAAATGACATTTCTGACTCATAGGCAGTAGGATGTGCATTTAGAGGTTTTATTTTCCTTTTTCTCAGCAGCAGGGATGGATTAGCAGTGAGTCATGGATATATCCACCTTTCACACAAATTCTCTGTGGTGCTTGAGAACCCAGGTTTACATGATAGTTGCATGGTTTTAGAGCCTGAGCTATGGATATTGGAAATTGGTCTATGCTGTAGTGTAAGTTAAGAGTAATTGTAAGACCAGTGGATTATTTCAGATCGGTTGGCCTAGTGGAGAGAAAGTGATGCTACCAAGCCAAAGGGGTAACTTCTATCTGTGGCTCTCAGGCCTGTTTTTCATTGTTCCTGTTCAAACATTCTTCTAGGTCGTATAGCCCTGGTGGTTGCTGTGAAGCTGAACACTGTGACACTGATGTGTCAAATGCGTTAATGGTTGCCAATGGCAGACAGTGTTTGGTGGAACTTCCCAATTAAAACAAGCTTGGAAGCAGGAGTGGCATCCACTTCTGCAATAGCTTGCCTCCGGAAACCCTATGAACCTGGAGAAAGGATGAAAGTCACACAAGTGTTGAGGACTTTCGTTCATAGGGTCACTATGATTCGCCTACGACTCGACGGCACTTAACAACAACAACAACTGTAGATTGAAGATTCAGTCTGTGGTCAGGTATAAAGGAAAGTTGTCTTTGTGGCTCTTTATTAAGTAAAGGCAATTTACCCCTAAAAGGTTGAAATTAGGTCATAATTTTGTGAATAAAATCCTATCTCAAATCCTCTTGGGCAGTTGGTCATTCAAAGGAATCTTACTGAGAATGCTTCTGTGAAGGGAGAGAATTTTTTCAAAATTTATCCTTCCACATTACCATCTTACCTTCTCAAGGACACTCAGCCATCATTCAGAACTAACATTAGCACCATTAGATTTTTTATCATTCAACCTCGTCTTAATTAGTAACAAAATAAATTATATCTTCATTTTGTCCTACAGGTATGCTATTTGCCAAAAGTGTGTAAGCTGAAGGTTTATCACCTTTGCCTCCAAGGAATACTCAGTACGCTTCTCCAACGCCACAGTTCAAAGGTATCAATCAATTCTTCTTCCTTATTCATTGTACAGCTCTCAGATGCATAGCAAGTGACTGAAAAGACAATGATCTGAATCAGTAACACCTTAGATCTCACACTAGTCTTCTCCCCCCCTCCCCCTAATGAGAATACCAGAACACCTGATTGGGCTCATATGAAACCTATACTTGGACCAGGAGGCAGTCATCAGAACACAGCAAGGAAACACTGCGTGGTTCAAAATTAGAAAAGTAGTGCATCAGTGATGTGCTCTGTCTCCATACCTTTTCAATTTGTATATAGAACAGATCATTCAAGAGGCTGGACTTTATGAGGAAAAAGGTGGCATCAGAATTGGAGGAAGACTCACCAACAACCTGCACTGTGCAAATGACACAACTTTACTTGCTGAAACTGATGACTGCCTAAAGCATTTGCTGCAGAGTGTTAAGGACTATAGTTTACAATGTGGATTGAAGCTCAACATCCAGAAGACGAAGATTCTCACCACTCGGTCCATTAACAGCATCATGATAGATAGAAAAGAGATTGGGATTGTTAACAATTTCAGCTTGCTCAGTTCTCTTGGCACTGACAGTCAGGAAGTCAAAAGATAAATTACATTAGGGAAATCTGCTGTCAGGGACTTCTTCAGAGTGCTGAAGAGCAATGATGTCAGTCTAGAGACTAAAGTGTGCCTGATCCAGGCCATAGCCTTCACAGTTACTTGCTATGCATCAGACAGCTGGACAATGATGAAGAATGTCAGAAGAAGAATCGATTCCTTTGAGTTGTGGGGCTCAAGAGAAGTATTGAACATACTGCCAAGAAACTAATGGGTCTGTGTTGGGGAGGATGAAACCTAGCTGCTCCTTGGAGGCTAGGATTTTGAAGCCCTGTTTCAGATACTTTGTGCATATTACCAGGAGAGACCAGTCTTTGGAAGGGTTAAGGGACAGCGCGGGAAAGGGAGACCCTGAGTGGGATGGATTGACACAATAAATGGGTTAATAAGGGTAAGTGTGTCAGAGACAGTGAGATTGGCTCAGGATAGAACAGGGTTCAGAGCTATTGTGCATAGTCTATGAGTCGTGGTTGACTCAATGGCACATTACCTAACAAGAATGTTAAGATACAGATGCAAAAGAAAGACTCTTGTTTGAGACTTCTTGCACTAATTTACTCATCATGTTATATCTGCTATGTGTAAATTACTTGTTTTGTATCTCTAAGCTGGGACATATTTCAGTTAACAGATGCTGCCCTGGACGTGCTCACCAAGTTGTGCCAAGAAATCTGGAGAACGACCACTTGGCCAACTGACTGGAAGAGATCGATATTTGTCCTATCCCAAAGAAAGGTGACCCAACAGAATGTGGAAACTACAGAACAATCTCACTGATTTCACATGCAAGCAAGATTTTACTGAAGATTATCCAAAAACGACTGGAACAGCACATCAACAGAGAACTACCAGAAGTCCAGGCTGGGTTTAGAAGGGGTCGTGGTACTAGAGATATTGTAGCTGATGTTAGATGGATCTTGGCTGAAAGCAGGGAATACCAGAGGAAAGTCTATCTGTGTTTCATTGACTATGCAAAGGCATTTGACTGTGTAGATCATAACAAACTATGGCTGACTCTGAGAAGAATGGGAATCCCAGAACACTTGATCGTTCTAATGCGAAACTTATACTTGGACCAGGAGGCAGTTGTCAGAACAGAGCAAGGGAACACTGCATGGTTCAAAATTGGGAAGGGCGTACACCAGGGATGCATCCTATCTCCATACCTTTTCAACCTATATGCAGAACAGATTATCCGGGAGGCTGGGCTCTATGAGGAGAAATGTGGAGTCAAGATTGGTGGACGATTTATCAACAACCTGTGTTACGTGGATGACACAACCCTGCTTGCTGAAACTGAAGAGGACCTGAAGCACCTGCTACAGAGTGTCAAGGACTGCAGCCTACAATATGGATTGAGGCTCAATGTCAAGAAGACAAAGATTCTCACCACTAGACCAATTGGCAGCATCAGGATGGATGGTGAAGAGATTGAGATTGTACACAGCTTTAGTTTGCTTGGCTCCACAGTCAACAGTCTTGGCACCAGCAGCCAGGAAATGAAAAGGCACATTGCCATGGGAAAGTCTGCTGTTAGGGACCTCTCCAAAGTATTGAAGAACAATGGTGTCTCTCTGGAGACTAAGGTGCGTCTGATACAGGCCATGGTCTTCGCAATCACTTGTTACGCATCAGAGAGTTGGACAATGACCAAGGAGGATAGAAGGAGAATTGTTGCCTTTGAGCTGTGGTGCTGAAGAAGAGTATTGAGAATACCATGGACTGCTAGGAAAACAAACAGATTTGTCCTGGAAAGGGTTAAACCGGGTAGCTCCTTGGAGGCAAGGATTCTGAGGCTCCGTCTAACATACTTTGGACATGTTGTGAGAAGAAACCGGTCCTTGGAGAGGGACATCATGCTTGGAAGGGTGGAGGGACAGTGCAGGAGGGGAAGGCCCTCTATGAGGTGGATGGATTCAGTGACTGGGATAATTGGGATGGGAGTGTCAGAGACAGTGTGATTGGCACAGGGCAGAGCGGAGTTTAGGGCTGTTGTACATAGGGTCGCTATGAGTCGTAGGCGACTCGACGGCACACAACAACAACAACAATAACAAGCTGGATAAGACTAAGGATGATAGAAGAGTACTGAATTGAGGACCAATGTAAGAGAGGAAGAC